GTCAAATTTCAACCGAAATTTGCATAAAGTTGTTTACGAAACCGATACGGCATCTTGTTGAAAAACTTTCATCAGACATCGAGGGGCTTGCTTGATATAGTTTTTGGAAACATTACAGTCCCAAGTCAAGATACGTGTTTGCAAACAGTAGTTCTTGTCAATACGATGCAGTAGAAGTTTCATTCCAGGAGAAATTGGACGGCCTGTTTTGAAGCGCAGTCGTTTCGAGAGCAAGTCGATTTCGATTATTATTTTACTCGTTGATCACATCACTAGTGATTTTGATGCTTTCAATTTTCAGCCGTTTATCGATCGACAGCTGTACTTAAAACTTTCGCTCAATACATTGATAACAACAAGATGAACTAACCAGCCGTTAATAGATTGCTTAATAGGGAATAGCGCTCGATTACTTCCACCAATTCAACTGTTAGAGCGTTAGAACAAATCGTTAGAGCGTTAGAACGAACCGTTAGAGCGTTAGAACAAATCGTTAGAGCGTTTGGACAAATCGTTAGAACGTCAGAACAAACCGTTAGAACGTTTGGACAAACCGTTAGAACGTTAGAAAAGCCGTTAGCTATCCGTTAGCTATCCGTTAGTTTTCTAACGATAACGAAATATCGTTAGTGTACGTTTTCCCAAAGAAGGTCACAAATGTTTCTCCAATAACACTTAATTATCTTCATGATTTCCAGCAACTCCAGAAAGACCACATAATTTAGATTTCTGGTTTTGATACTAAAAGCTATAGCCTTACATAAATTCACTGTGCAAGGTCTTAAAATGTACTTGAACCTGCAAGCTTTCAAAAGCACCTACAGGTTGTAAGATGGGGTTACAAGACTGTTAGTAATACCACTTTGATTGTTTCACATCAGCAACTAGTTTGAAGGAAAATAAATTTGTTCACTGAATCAGAGAAACTCACTATCTTATGTTTTAGAACATGATTTAAATAAAATTCAGAATTCACCAAACCTTTTAAACTAATAATTTACTATTTCCATCCTGGCGTTTTTAAATATTTTTCATGCAAATAACAACAACCAGAAGTGGATTTGCAACCCCAAAATAAAAAGATTAATAACTGATTTTTCTCATTACAAATGTACCAATCCCAGACAGTAGTTAAAGCTTAAGCAAACAGAATGTTCACATTCCAGATGTCACAAACAGCAACCAGAAGTTTGGTGTTTCATTTGGCTTTGTGAGAAGACTTCTGATAGAAACAACAGGTTAACAAGCATTTGATTGTTTTAACCCCTGTATCAAATCAGAGCACTCCACACCTTCAAGTCCCAATAGCATCCAACATCAATTTTCTCTGAACAACATCAATACAAAGTCAACAGAAAAGATTACTAGAATGAATAAATGATTACCAAAAGAAAATATTTTGGATCTTTTTATCAAATTCTCTCCACTAATTCTTTAAGGAATTGCATGTAGATCATTTTGGAGAATTTTAATGCAGATATTGGTGCTTGAAGGGTTAAAAGACAGAAAAGGTCACCTTCTGGCAGTTATTTTGGACAATTAGGAGGTCAACATTTTGTTGCTCATACATGTAGTTGCTATTTAATAGTGGATCCGGAAAAAATGGCCTGAGAAAATGGGGGCAGGGAGGGTGGCTGTTCCCCTTCCCTAGATCTGCCACTGCTGGGAGTTTTTTGAAATAGCCAACAAATTATCTAGTTTGAACAACGATGATGGCACTCTATAGTTTGAGAAGCTCTCAAGATTGGCTACACTGTCAAGTACAACCAAAACTGGGATGGACGAACTGGTATTTGCGTCACTGGCATTTGCTACAGTTAATGCAACCTTCTATAAATATTATAAACAAAGGCATAGAAGGCTACCAGTAGTTTAGTCCTAGTTTTAGGAAACTCAATGCATCTGGAAGTACTGCTGTCTATGAAGACAAATTTTTTTAAAAACTTTTTTCAAACTATAGAGAAAACTCAGCAGTGCCCAGTGGAGCATTTTCCAGCTCTTAAAAGAATATCTGGTATCAATAATACCTCATCTACTTAAATTTTGTTCACTGAGCAAGACTGTGCCCCAACAGCACTCGGTGGCCAAGGTACCTAACTTTTGCTCCATGGCGCCTAGAAAATCTTAGTTAATTCAAAGAGCACGGCCTTGCCGATTGTTTTCCTATGCATGGAGCTCCTCTGTTCTGTTATTTACAATACTAACATTTTTCAAACCCTCCTGCATGACCCTAATATCAACAAGCGTGGTCTCTATACACTGTTCCCAATCTCCAAACCTTTCCTTTGATACTGATGAGGACAATTTCTTTAATAATCAAGGCCTCGTTTATTTCTGGTTCATTTCCCTTCTTCACACAAACATTATGATTTCTTGAGAATTAGTTACTGTGAGGAGAAGTTAGATTTTGGTCACTCTAAGTGGTTAAGGGGTTAAAAGAATAGCCTAGACATGACTCAACTAAATGCAGTCAAATACTAAAATATTTCTCCAATAACACTTAATTATCTTCATGATTCCCAGCAACTCCAAAAAGACCACCTAATTTAGATTTCTGGTTTTGATACTAAAAGCTATAGCCTTACGTAAATTCACTGTGCAAGGTCTTAAAATGTACTTGAACCCGCAAGCTTCAAAACCACCTACAGGTTGTAAGATGGGGTTACAAGACTGTTAGCAATACCACTTTGATTGTTTCACATCAGCAACTAGTTTGAAGGAAAATAAATTTGTTGACTGAATCAGAGAAACTCACTATCTTATGCTTTAAAAACATGATTTAAATAAATTTCAGAATTCATCAAACCTTTTAAACTAATAATTTATTATTTCCATCCTGGCGTTTTTAAATATTTTTCATGCAAATAACAACAACCTGAAGTGGATTTGCAACCCCAAAATAAAAAGATTAATAACTGATTTTTCTCATTACAAATGCACTAATCCCAGACAGTAGTTAAAGCTTAAGCAAACAGAATGCTCACATTCCAGATGTCACAAATAGCAACCAGAAGTTTGGTGTTTCATTTGGCTTTGTGAGAAGACTTCCGATAGAAACCACAGGTTAACAAGCATTTGATTGTTTTAACCCCTGTATCAAATCAGAGCACTCCACACCTTTAAGTCCCAATAGCATCCAACATCAATTTTCTCCGAACAACATCAACACAAAGTCAACAGAAAAGATTACTAGAATGAATGAATGATTACAAAGAGAAAATACTTTGGATCTTTTTATCAAATTCTCTCCACTAATTCTTTAAGGAAATGAATGGAGATCATTCTGGAGAATTTTATTGTAGATATTGGTGCTTGAAGGGTTAAAAGACAGAAAAGGTCACCCTCTGGCAGTTATTTTGGACAATTAGGAGGTCAACATTTTGTTGCTCATACATGTAGTTGCTATTTAATAGTGGGTCCACAAAAAATGGCCTGAGAAAATGGGGGCAGGGAAGGTGGCTGTTCCCCCTCCCTAGATCTGCCGCTGCTGGGAGTTTTTTGAAATAGCCAACAAATTGTCTAGTTTGAACAACGATGATGGCACTCTATAGTTTGAGAAGAGTTTACAACAAGCTCTCAAGATTGGCTACACTGTCAAGTACAACCAAAACTGGGATGGATGAACTGGTATTTGTGTCACTGGCATTTGCTACAGTCAATGCAACCTTCTATAAATATTATAAACAAAGGCATAGAATGCTACCGGTAGTTTAGTCCTAGTTTTAGGAAACTCAATGCATCTGGAAGTACTGCTGTCTATAAAGACAAATTTTTTAAAAACTTTTTTCAAACTATAGAGAAAACTCAGCAGTGCCCAGTGGAGCATTTTCCAGCTCCTAAAAGAATATCTGGTATCAATAATACCTCATCTACTTAAAGACTGTGCCCCAGCAGCACTCGGTGGCCAAGGTACCTAACTTTTGCTCCATGGCGCCTAGAAAATCTTAGTTAATTCAAAGAGCACGGCCTTGCCGATTGTTTTCCTATGCATGGAGCTCCTCTGTTCTGTTATTTACAATACTATTTGTACATCAACATGGGCATTTCATCAGTTCAAGACATGGGATCTGGGGCATTTTCTAGTGTTACTACCTCCACTGCTTNCAGCACTCGGTGGCCAAGGTACCTAACTTTTGCTCCATGGCGCCTAGAAAATCTTAGTTAATTCAAAGAGCACGGCCTTGCCGATTGTTTTCCTATGCATGGAGCTCCTCTGTTCTGTTATTTACAATACTATTTGTACATCAACATGGGCATTTCATCAGTTCAAGACATGGGATCTGGGGCATTTTCTAGTGTTACTACCTCCACTGCTTGGGTGGCCACTGGCACACCCTCGCATGTGTCAGCCATGTGTGTGTGGACCTCATGTCCTCCCACTGCCGAAGTTGTTACTGTCTGAATTATTGAATGTGGTGCCATGGCTACTTGAGGTACTGATGCTGACATGTACTGAGTATGGGTACTTACTGGTAGATGATGTGTTTGAATCTGCATAAGGGATGCAGCTGCCTGGACTGGGATGGTCACCATGTTAGAAGTATTCATGTTGTCTGGAACATTTGCTAAAGCTGCTGCTGCAGCAGCTGCATGTTCTGGCAAGACAATTTGTCCTCCATCTGCTAATGTCGCTTCGGCAAGAGTGGCTACTGCTGCTTGTGCAATTGCCTCGGTATGTGACAAATCACTTTGGTCAATGGAAACACCATCACTCTGTCCTGGATGGGACAGGGTAACCTCAACTTGAGTTGCTGCTGCAACTTCTGCTAATGTTGCCACAGCTTGTGTTGCCTCAGTCTGTGAGGTTGCTGCATCTGACAATGTACTCACAGCACCTGAAGCATCCACTTGAATGAGAGACACAGTTCCATCTGCATTTGAAATTGTATGGACCATTTGATGCGGTGTTTGGACATACTGGTGCTGGGGTGCATCTCCTTCAGTGAATGCAGGTAGTAGGTCTTCTCTCCCATGGAATTTGTAGCAGTTCTTTACGATTTGCCTTAACGCGTTTGTCCACGAAATCCTTGCTTTTTCATCTTCACTGCGGCAATCACTGCGCACGTTTTGCCAAGGCAGGTCAGACGGCCACCAAGCTGGTCTCGTAGAATCTTTTCCCCATCCTGGCTTTCCACGACCAGTGGAATACCGCAACATCATTGGAATGAATGCTCGCAGTTGGGCTTGTGTCATTTTGTCCACAGGAGTGGGTATACCATCAATGACCAGAGGAGGAAGTGTGTAGGTATCTGGGTTTTCTGGGGGTGGTGGTGGAGCGTGTTCAGCTAACGCATGCTCTAAATCCTGAAGGACAAGCTGCTTAAGGTTTCTTACCACATTTTCTAGTGGTACAGCTCCAAACACCTTGAAAAGTGGATTTGGCTTGCCAGGACACACACACAGAACAACAGCTTGTTGCCCTACCCTTGTTGTATATTCATCAATAGTGGCTCTCAACTTCCGGAGAAGACGAGTTTGCTGCCGTTTACGAATAGAAGGGTTCGTTTCAAAAGAATGCGGTCTTTTCCGTTTCTTCCCTGTAGCAATGGCGGCGGCGGCAGCTACCCCAACGGGCCCTGCGGCCGCTAGCTGCGCGGTGACTTCATCGCTGACTGTGGAACTCAGCAGGTCCGAGCCATCGAAGGTTGTTGACTCCGGCGATGAGGGTTCATCATCTGACATTTGACTCATCGACTGAGACATAGAATGTGAAATCTGGATCGTCTGCGACATGTTCTGAGGCAACGCTTGGGATAACCCCACCTGGTGAAGGCTGACTTGCGCCAGTTTGCTGTCAAAAAGCCAAGAAACTAACAGTCAAAACCAAAACGAAAACACAACATCACCAGTTCTTTGGTGCCTGTTCATGCAATTTTCAAGCGACGTATGAATATGAAATTCGCTTAAAAAGTCTCGCCTCAGAGGAAGTTTTTCAGCGCAAAGACACCGAAGAAAATCAACAAAAGAGCCCAGCTAAAATCCGCTGAGGTCCCTCTGATCGAATTGCACCGTCGACTCGATCAAGGCGAAGCAAACGGCGTTTAAATTCCAAAATTTCCACCTTTTCGTTTGGCAAAGTCGTTCACGGGTTAGATTAGTGACGGGTTGAATACTTACACTGGTAGACGGCAAAAAATGTTCCATTGCCGTTCAAACAAGACCAAACCCTTACAAAAACACACTCAACGATACCTGGTTTGACGGTCAGGATCAAAATAACTCGGCAAAGGTTCTGAATCTGCGCAAAGAAGCTCTCTCTGTCCGACTTGCGCGGAAAAGAGAACGCGATGGCGGCTGCTCAATAGAACAAACTGGCGTAGGGCTGCCACGCATGTGCTAACTAGCTGCGGGGCGTCTCGGTTTGTTCGTCCTCGCAGGGGTAAGTGCAATCTAAGAAACTTTACGATTGGTCAATTATTCCTTCCTTATTTATAAGAAAAAAATTAATTGGCTGTTTGCGTTTCGATGAAAGCTTGGCGTGGCAGCACCTGTTCTTCTTTGACCTCATATACCTGCATTTTTTTTCCTTTCTTTGAATTCAAGAAAAAAAATTATTATGTTAATTTTTTACTGCATGAGGGAGCAGATGTAGGTCACTAACAAACAATTCCTAAAAATTAACATGTCTTCATTATATTCACACAATCATGATCATAGATATTCATTATCCTTTCAAATACGTTCATGTACTTTTTGTTTGTTTCGCCCTGGCTGAAATGTTTTCTTTTTATTTTCAGTGCAAAGGTTTTGCATCTAAAATTTGCTATGTATTCAATTTGTTTGACATCCCATTTAGAGTTTGAGAACTGGAAACACATTCTTTCTTTTGTTACCTCACTAACTAGCACCCCCTGAACTTTGGGAGAAGGTGAGCTGGGCAGACTTGTTCCAGAGGCATTAGGTCGAGGCCACTTGAAAGTCTTCCTAAGCTTAAATCATGCATCTACTATTACAAACATAAAAATTGCCGAGGGGCTGAGCTGACTATTCATGGGCGATTTGCTTTTTGTTGTGTTTGTTTGTTTTCTGGTTATGGCCAAGCAGGGCATCGTGGCTATTTGGTATTAGAGAGTGAGAAAATCTCTTTTACAGTACATTCCAAAATCAGCCAACACCAACTCCCCCCCCCCCCCCCCCCCCCCTCTTCTCAGCATTTACATCAACCGGGACACTAACACAACGATTCACTGGGGTGATTTTTTACTATACAAATTAAGGACTTTTTGTCAGACCTTCGCAAGACCTGTGAGTCGAACACCTTGCAAGAGCCTGTTTATACTTTTTTTTGGCGTTTTTTTTTTTTTTTTGTTTGTTTTTTTTTTGGTTATGGCCAAGCAGGGGCTTGTGGCTATTTGGTATTAGAGGGTGGGAAAATCTCTTTTTCAGTACATTCCAAAATCAGCCAACACCCACCCCCCCCCCCCCCCCCATTATATGCGGACATTTTTCAGAAACGGGAATATCTCAAAGACTGTCTTAAGGAGTCTTTTTGAACCTAAACCTTGGAGGATTTTTGATACAACCTTGCAGCCATGGGTTAAGGTAACGTGCCTGTAGTGCAATTTTTTTCCCAGGGAGTGGGCCCTGTTATCACAAGATTTTGTAACGGAATAATTAAAAGCTTTCTCTTTATCTCAAGCTCAGGAAAGTCTCTCAGTTCATTGTAGTCTAAAGGAAGTGAAGGCTCTGGGGAAGCTGGGTTTCTGAAACATATTTGGAGAGAGTTTATAGTGGACTTCTTAAAGTCCCCTGCTATCTCTCCAGGTTATAGTAGAGAGGAACTGCTTAGCCTGTTCCAGGCTCTCAGATAGTGGGTATGACACCTTAGTGAAAAGCACGCAAAAGTATGAGTGCGTGATCTGCCCTTGGGGAAAGGGGGCAGTGGCACCCTTCATCTCCCCAGTTTCCTCTCATTGTAGTTTTGTTTTTGTGCTTTCTCAGTTTCGTGGACCTGACTATCTTGGAGCCTGGATCACACCTGCTGAGTTTGAAAGGGTGCCATCTTAACTTTCCTTCACAAGCTGCATGGGGAGAGTACAAATTTGGCTGTTTGGTGGTACCTCCCACATTCATCCCAAGGGAAATATTTCACTCTTACCAGTTGAAAATCTAGAAAGCAGCCTCTCACATGTTTCAGTCAACAATGATGTCACTATGGATAAAAGGGACTCAGGACGGCTACCCTGTTAGTCACATTCATATGCTCACTGCATTATGCAATATAGAGGCCACAGATTTCCAACCTGACTGAAAGACAACTGGCATTGATGAACATTAAGTTTAGAGTACACTTTTATGATGTCATGCACATTTTTTAATGATATTTTCTAAAGAGTTATTTTGTAATATCTGTACAGGTCTTGGCCACATTCTGTGTACAGCTAGTGGTATTAAAGAAATCCACATTTTTAATACAATTCCAGTGATCTCATGTACATGCACACGTGATTAAAAAATTAACAACATCAACAAAAAGCAGTGCATTTTGACAAAATATGCTTTAGCCATTTCTAGGCAATGATATTCAATGCTAATACACTCTTCAACCAAAAAAACAAGTGGAAATGTCAACATTTAAAAACATTTAGAGGCAGATCAAGGTGCAGGGGGTCCATAACTGATTCCTTTTCTTGCCCATAGGTATCTGCCCCTTCTTTGTCCTGTACCAAAGAATAAATCCTCCAATCAACTTTTTCATAGTCTGCCCTACTAACACAATCAAAATCTAAGGGGAGGTCACCCTGTGAGATGGTATTGGGATACTTGCCTTTTCCCTGTAACTTACATGTGCATATCACCCCCTTTTAAAACAGTTTTAGATCTGCCCCTTAATCATAATTGCATAATTTAAGTTAATACTTAGTGGAAACAAGGAAGAGATTTCTGCACAACCCCAAACATATTAGGGACACTTCTTCTGCATAAGTCGGGTGCAGGCAGGCCAACATGTTTGCTACGTAGTTAAATACAAGGAAAATCATTTCCAGATGTGATTATTGCTTCACTGTTCTAGCTATTTTCCTGTGGTAAGAGGCAAATCTACCCATATTTAAGTGCTACAGGTATGGGTAATTTACCCATCATGACTGGTAAACAGAAATGGTCTCAATATAATTATGTACTTTGAATACGTTGTTCCAGATCTGATCTGTGTCAAATAGTATGAAATGCTGCATGCGTGCATAATAAAAAAGTGGTGCGAAAATCTCACTGCAACAAGGACTGGAAACAGAAACTAAGGGCCTATTTAAATGGAGGCGGGGCCGGACCTCAGGTAGGTGAGGTAACCTGCTTTGGTGGGGTAACCCACCTGTCTATATAATCTCTCATTTTAATTTTATCACGGTTACATGATAGATGGGGTGACCCGCCACATGTTACCTCACCTACCTGGGGTCCCCCACCTCCATGTAAACAGGCTCTAAAAGAGACTGAATATAATATAGCTAGCTGGTTTCTCAATTGATTTTCCATGATGAGATGTCTCTTTGACACTTATCTGCCAGGATGGGTCCACCATATCTTGAATTCTTTCATTTATATGTTACACCCAACGAACTGATTCGATTCACCTCGAAAAAAGAGTTAAATCATTGCTGGAGAATCCTTGGGGGCGATCAAAACAACCAGCGGCTTGATCATTAGTTAAGTTACAAAACGATGCGTTTCTGTTAGTTATTGGTTATTTCTTCTTTTTTCCTTTGCCCTTCTTTTTCTTCTTTCCTTTCGCCCCTCCTGTGTCCCATCCAAATCCTCTAAACTCCAAAAACTGCGGCACATTATGAGAGATGTAATAGCCATTCGACATTGCGTCGGGGCTCAGCAAGTCCACGTCTCTCTTCGTTTTGGTCGGTGATGGAGAACGCGATTTTTTCCCACTCTTCTTTCCACCTTTTCTCGATGGGCTTCTACTACTTCCTCTGCTTCTACTCCTGCTTTTACCAGATTTTCTCACTTTACCAGACTTGTGTCCTGCCGGCTGTGATAATCAAAAACACCACACGCGATTTGTTACAACACAACAGCGAAAAGTAAACAAAGCTGCAGGAAAGCCATTGAAATGCTGTACGCCATTCTGGTGCTGCGTGCTTGTTTTAAAATCGTTCATACTCACCATTTTGAAGGGAAAAAACACCGGCTCTCGAGCCGGTAAAGGGCGTTGCGTTAACCCTCAACCTGTCCCGAACACTCTCAACTTTGAAGTTACCTCATGACCGACTGATTGTTCTTCTGATGATCGCTTGCCCGTTTCGAAGGAATGCAAATAAAACCGGACGTCAATGCTTGGGATGGTTACATCCTGTCACCATACCAACCATATTCAAATGAGCTACCGGGTGGCGTTAATTTTTCACAGTCAAACAAAGCTTTAACTAATACGATAATTTATGAATTTTCAGGCAAAGAATGTAATAAAAACTTCCACTTCAATGGTACTGAAATCGCGATTCACAGTCTTCGCAGCCGTTTTATGTTTTGTAACGCAATGCTCCTCGTTCAAAGTAGCGTTGCGTGACGACACAAAAAATGGCTGCGAGGTGAATTCGTAAACTTTCCATGCTTTGGCCTGTCGGCCTTCGCCCAACACCAAAGCATCCCCCCGACACCCGGAAAAAAATCTGGTGCCCGAGCAGTGAATTTGCAGATTGCGATAAACATTTCCACACGGAAAGGAAGGTGTGGGAGCAGAATCGAGCAGAAGGAACGCTCCATCCCACCCCTCCGTATAAAAAGCTGTCCGTTTTGGATGAGAGCGGTCCAAATTATCAGGCTTTTCTCGGGTGAAAGAGGAAAGGCGTAACCCCGGAGGGGCCTCCCAGAATGGGACATTTCAGCTGTAAAATGTTTTGCAGCTTGTAATAAGCTCCTGGTAACTGATGCTGGAGACTTTCTGGCACAAAAATTCTCTTTAGAACTCCCTTAAAGTTCAACGTCAAACTCCGAGTATTTCTTCTCAAATGTCCTCTTACCAAACCAACCAGAGGCTTGCCAAGATGCCAAATCTCAGATCCGAGACTCTGAGATTGAAAGAAATGCAGAAATATTTAGACCGCTATTTATTGTTTTGTTTCTCTGAAATATCAATCACTGTAGCTGCTCCCTCCATAAGGAAAGACAAAAAAGAAATGGGCTTTAAATACGAAAAGCAACAACTTTGCATATACAGGGGCGTAGCCAGCTTTTCGACTAGTTATAGGCCTGGCTGACTTTTATTTCCACACATCCTAAAAATTACCCTGCGAGCAGAGGTTTCTCTCTTGCATGGCTTTTAGCATTTACAAAGTCGTTTGCATGGCCTGTCTGTCACGTAGTTGGTTTATTTACTCCCTTGTGAGAAACCTCTGCAGTAAGTGATTTCCGTCGAGCATGCGCCAGATTAATAATTTGTTGCTATAGAGACAACTTGGTCCAACTTGTGCATATACATAAGGTTGAAACCAATACTTTCCATTCTTTTATGATGGTTTTGTGCATTAGTTTCCTCAGTGTGTGCCGTGCTATCATGATACACTTGTGCAGAATTAACATGTGACATTCTTCTAGTCTCAAATGTCATCTGCCTCTTCACCCTACCCCCAACAGGTGGCAACCCAGAGTAACATTCTACCTGTATAGGGCCCAGCTCTAAAAAATTTTTCTCAAGTGTTGTTATTAGAGACAGAATAATAAATTTCCTCCAGATTTCGTTAATTTGAGCAAGAAGCCCATGGTAAAAAGGCAGACTGCACAGCCTCTGCAATATAGTACAAAAATAAATTGCCCTATGCATCTCTAGGGTTGTAATAATAATATTAGTTTAGTCCCACTGGAGTTAATTAAAGTACTTTAAAAAATCAACAGGTCTATTTGATAAGTGATGGGAGAGGGTCCAGACCTTGTCCTTGCCTCTGTCAGACCCTTATCGACTACTGAAACTTCAAAGAAAAATCCGACTGCATGACTCATACTAGACATACGCTGGAGAGCTTGCTCGAAGGCTACTTGGCCACTTGTATCTTGGGTCTATCTTGTACTATCTTTTTCTCCCTTTTCTTGAATCTTTCTTAGATTTAAGTCTTTTCTTCTTTTTCTGCAGAGTGTTCGTTTTCTCTTTGGTTATTTCTTCGATGAATGGCTTAAGACTGCCATTTGCTGTCTTTCTAATAACAAAGTTTTCCTCTGTGAGAGGTCCACAGTCTATTTCCTGTGTTTGAATTTCATCAGAATCTCCATCAGAATTCACATCTATGGAATTGCTTTCCTCACAGGAACCTTCACTGCTGTCTGCTTGAGTTTCCACCATGGCTAAACTCTATAAATTGAGATAAGTGAGGAAAGTTGATAACACGTCATGCAATCATTGAATTCAATTCATGACTGACAAATTTAATTCAAATTAACCCATGCAACAAAATTTGACAATACTGCAATGTATAAAATGAGTCAAATATTATTCATCTGAGACATTTTATGTCATGGATAAAACGTCTACAGAGCATCTCATTTTAGATGCCACTCAATGACCCATTGAATTGAATGCATACATTACGTTAAAGTGTATCAAATAAGGTATTACAATTTAGGAAAATTGAGCCGGGAGGCTGCTGTAGCACTAGTTTGCTTCACTGCACAAGGACAGGAGTTTGAAAGGCTCTCGTTGCCAGAGCCAGTCGCTTTACTTGGTCACGTATTTGATCAGCACTTCCAGTTATAAGCCCCCTGGGATATAAGACCCCCCCCCCCTGAAACCCCTTAAGAAAATGTACGTATAAGCCCAGCAATAATAAGCGGAAGTTTATAGTAATTTTATTTCCCTGTAGATGGGATGCTTAGCCTTGTCCTAAGCCAGAGCACAAGTTTCAGTCCTACCATTTCAATATATGGACCAGCATCTTCAACATTTTCAATGTCCAGTTCAGAGGGGGATTTCGCTTCAAGTTCTTTCTGAAGTGCTTCTTCAGCTTCCTTTATCTTTGGTAGGAAATCTTTCACTCTTCTTAAAACTAGACCACAAGAGATCAAAGACATTGAATAGTAAGAAGTGTGGGACAAAAACGCCAAGGGCAACTCCACAATATAGTCAACTCTCGACACCCCGATAATACAGACAGCAGATTAATCCCCGGCAAAAACAAATTACAGACATTTGACCGAAATAAGCTTACGCTCTTACGGACTCTCACTAATGAGGACACTAACTCGAGCTCCCTTCAGTGTCTGCAATAAAGGGAGTTGATCGTAGCCACTGTTACAGAGAGGGTTCCCACAATAAAATATTATGTACTGTAGTTCTGTAAAGATAATATCCAATACATACTATGTACCAAAATACACAGTGGCTGTATGTTGGCACCGTAGGATTCCTTTTTATTAATAAAACCAGGGTCTTAAAATGCTTCTCCACTCTCCCAAATTGCTTTCAAATTATGTTGACCTTTTGAAAATGCACATTGCACTCAACAATTATTGTAGTAAACTACAACAAATGTTCGTGTTTATTCAGTTTGTCAGTGTATAGACGAGCTTCTCTGCTGAAAGACGATGACAAAATCACTCTCAGTGTGCCATTCAGGGCTGTAGAACTCCATGAAGTTGCCATTTTGTCCTTTTAGAGGTTGTCCTGTTGGGTACCATCCAGTTTTTTCTGACCTCCCCCACGCCGACTCTGTGGATGCGACGATTCCAACAACAACATATCAAAAACAACAACAAAGACGAAGTTTGCATGTTACCTGAAGGTGGCTCGACTTTAAAAATCTTCGATGGAACTCTACTTTCTGACTTGCTTTCTTTGGTTATGAGAAATTTGGAATTTTCTGCAACAAAAACAAAAAAAGCACGCGGTTTAAGCTGACAAACTCTGGATCACGAGCCATTTACTTCTTCAAGGTATCAAGACAACGTTACCAGGCCTGAAAGGAATATGGAGGAGTTCGTCTGAATGAGAAACTTGTCGATCTTGTGTTCCATCGCTACAAGACGCCATTTTGGAACAGAAGAACACGTGGTTGCATTGTTTATTGCCCAGAATGCACTGCGAATTTTATCAGACTAGCCGGATATGACGTCATGGAACTTGTCTCGAAACAGATGGTTATGGTGGTGGAAGAAGATGGCGGTCAGCGACAGGGACGAAATGTTCCTTCAAAGTGAATTTGAAGGTCCTATTTTGCCCTGGGATCGCTTCAGAAGATGGGTGACTTGCTTTTGCGTTGTAACATTTGATTTAGAGCTTGGACAAGCGTTAGAGGTAGGCTTTATGAAATCATATCGCTTCAATGAATCGAATCGATTAATGTTTGTCGTTCGAGAAGCGCGCGTTTATTTGGTCTGAACACAGCATAATTTATAAGCATGTGGTGATAGTGTTTTTTTGTCTGCTTGTCACAGCTTGTTTACCCGGCACACATCGAACTGACTGATCGCGAGGTGAGCAATTAAACTCGAATCGTATTATAATGAGGTTAAGGGATTTAGACATTTTAAATTGTTCATTTCATTCCATACGCAAGCTAAGTACAGCATGTTCTGTCCTTTAACGCTATGATGTACGGGTGAAATGAACAGTTATCCGCCAGTTCGTTGCCCCCAATCCATTTTCAAATATATCCTAGCTAGCCTTATGTACGTAATTCATTTTTTTTTTACTGACTAAAAAAGAGCTAGATACAGTAGATATTTGATCCGAATCTTCCTTGGGCTCGAAAAGACCGATCCTTTTTCAACAAATTTTCACTCATTGACATTCGAAACATTATGCTTGCTTTTCCTTTCTGCTTCCTTTTTATAAGAGAAGTTCCGGCCTGTATTAATTGAATCCTCAATTATCTGTTTCTCATAATCACATGTAAACCCTGTATATTTTGTAGCCAACCTTATGCGTTTAAGTGATGCCAGTATGCTTGTCATCTATGACAGTTCCTTAAAATAGATGGCATTGCCTTATCTTTATATTTGAATATATAAATTTTTTCTTATAAATTCAAGCAATACACTGAAAAAGTCTGTTGTCTCCAATGCCAGGAGGTCAGCAAGTTATAGGGGAAGGGTAGGGGTATACCCAACAACCAGCTTCATGTTGTTTTAAAAAATGTTTTAAACTGACTGAAAGTACAGTACTTTTGGTTGTGTTTGGTCATAGATAAATGAGCAGAAAAAAGATTTTAACTGGAAAACTTTACTTTATTTTCAATCCTGTCTCAGTTTCTTTGTATTATTTTTATACACATGTGTGTTATCGATCAAGCATGAAGTCAAGATGGTTGGATATCCACCAAGTTTTGTTTGCGTTTTTATTAAGGCAAAGGCACGGTCAATAAAAATGCAAATGAAGTAAAGAACAAGGCTAATATTCGGCCAACTGGACTAAATGAGCTTGGACAATATTCACTGTATCTGTACGTGCTGCTTTAGCAGACAGTCGACAGTCAGTGGATCAAGGCAAACAACCATCTGCAGGCTGACTCAAAGCAGCTGGGATAATGAATGTTTGCATTTACAGGGTGCAAAGAAAATCATTTTTACAGCTTGCCATTCGGGCAGGCTGAAGCCGGCATTTACTAGCCCAGACGTCATTTCAACTAGCCCCAAAAATTTTTGACTAGCAGAATTGATTTCACAGTTCTTCTGTTATTCGAATTCCTCAAAAAACGTCACTTGCCCGTCGGGCAAGTTAAAAACAGAATTCATTAGCCTGATAGCAAAATCCACTAGCCCCAGGCTATCAGACACTACTTTCTTTGCGCGCTGATTTGGTTATTCTGCGAACATGATAATCTCAATCCACACAAACTGGTTTCTTGAAAATCATTTTTTTCAATGCTTTTGGTATCATGGTAATTGAAGGAGTAGACACTGATTTATACCCATTGCATAATTTGTTACTTATAACAATTGTTTACTAATAAAAAATACCACTTTTTAAGTGAGGTGATAAAAGAATTTTCTAGTCTTTCAAAAAGTGCTATATTTTTGGCAGGGGCATGTTATTGATTAAGCATCTGTTCAAGTTGGCTGGATATTGGTCAAGTTCATTTTTTTTGTGCATTTCACTGAGGACTACTAAAGGAACTGATACCAATATCCAGACACCTTGACTAAACAAGCCAGTGGTGGATCGAGGGGAGGGGACCCCCCTGAAGGTCTGGATCTGCAGGCTCAGCAAAAGGAACTCTTTTCTTATAGAAAGGCTGGCTTGTGTAGCTTATAAGAATACATGATTCACTTTATCTCATTGAGCCAACCGTTAAAGTTGGCAAAAAATGTTTTTCTTTTTTTGTGATTTTAAACTGCGCCAAATATTTTGTTTTTAAAATAATCTTGTATCCATAAGCAACTGGCTGATAACCAAAAATTCTAATACATGTACTAAATACTGGGATCTTATAAGAGGCCTCAAGCAATATACTTTACTTCAACTATTTCATGTACTTGTACAATATTTATTATTAAGATTTAGAGTTGTAGAGTTTATTTGGATCAATTTTGTGCTTGATTTGAATGTTATTTTCCTATGTGTCAGATTCTCTATGATCATACATTATATCATATCCAAAAATAATGCGAAATGAAAAATTTTAACCAAAGGATTGTTAAAGCAAAGTACCCCGTCATCAAAATTGATATGTATTCCTTTAAACTGCCTCTGCTGAGAGTTTCATTCATGTTTTAAAACTTAACCCTGCAGGGTAGTGTGAGATTTTCTGGGTCTCAATTTTTGCAGATTTTGAGGATTGTTCTCCAGCTACAAAAATTACTATCCCATAGAAATTTACTCCCTTCTGGTTAAAAACACTCCACTTTTTAACAGTGTCCATAAATATTGGGGACTTAAATGAAAATCCTGTTAAAATGTTTTGTGGTACATTTTTTTTCAGAAAACAAGCATTTGTTATCTGGCATTTCCTGATTCAAATTCAGGTATGAAAATACATGTATCAACTCAAATAGTGCCATGTGGATCTTCAAGCAACTGCAATAATCCATTGTGGAAAAAGTGTCCAACTGATTATCTTGAAAATACGACATGTTGTCTTGGGACTCACTGTGCAGTTGTAATTCATAAGTGACCCTTAATTTTCTGATTTTCATTTCAAATACTCTCTCTCTCTAATGCATAGAATTTGTAAGGGTTTTATTTTATTCACATTAATTTTGATTGTGCTTATGGTAGAGTTTTTTCTGATTATAATTGATGTTCACTAGTTTGGTTCAATCTGAATTATTCTGAAGATCAATCATAAAATCTCAGCCAATTCCCAACACTTAAACAAACATAATTGTTATTTGAAAATCACTCTATGTTAGATATGTATGTTTAAGGTGAATAATAATGTTACAGTGGAACCCCAATAATACGGTCACCAATGGGCCAAAACAATTTGGCTGTATCAATGTATGGCTATTTTGCCGGGCGGCCAAAAAAAGTGGCTGTAATAATGAGGTGGCCTTATTACCGAGGTGGCCATAAGGTGGGGTTCCACTGTACCACAAGATGCTACCTTCTAAGGTTCTTGTAAATATTAGGGGGAATTGTTAACATGTTGATTTTGCATAATTTGTCTCTTGTTGTATTAGCATTTTTTTAATTAATATTTTTTGTTGTAACAGGATGTATGGGGGACACTCAATTTCATTTCCGCATTCGATGTAGCCCTCGTAGTTGCCACAAAAGCCGACTTGTTTCACAATATGAAAATGAAGTTCCTTTGTCTTACAGGGTATGTATAGTAGATCCATACTGTAAGACCACTGTTGTTCCCAGATCATACAGGGCTGTCAAAAAGTTTTTAAGTAGGAGGCTGGTAATGAATAATAGATGGCTTTGAAACTCACACCAAAGGCACAAGTTCTTGAGGGCTGAGGCATCTAGGGACATTTTGAAATTTAGAGTCTCAGAAATGGCATTTTCAGGGGTATTCAAGAGGTATTTTCCACTGCGGACGCCTTGTTTTTTCGTCAGAATACACTCAAGACTGGGAATAATGCCGTTGAAATGTCTCAGGCATTCCATGACATTGCACGGTTTGAACTTTTCATAGATCTAAACCTGTTTAAATGTGCGTTCAATTGCAATGTCATTCAAAACCAGGAAATTAGATGCTTTACAGCTTTATTCGATGGTGCTTATTTTTTGTTAGCAGTTATGGTAGAAAGAGATGAAAGTAGCCAGCTAAGGATGGCTAACTAGCCGGCGGTTTTGGCCGGCTACTGGCCCTTCTTGACAGCCCTGTCACATGAGAATTTTCGCTTTGGCTTGGCTTCCTCTACATGTAAAAAAAAAATGTGTTACATGTACATATATGCAAGAATCTCCCAAAAAGCCACTGGATTAAGATTGTGTTCTTCTGGGATGGATGCAATAACTTGGTATTTATTAAACTTATTTGCAGAGTGATCCTGCGCATTTTTATGGTTTTGCTTATTTCCGTCAAGTGAAAGACCCAAGTATACAAAGAGGTTATTTTCAAAAGGTAATTCAGCTCTCAGCAATTGGGTACTAGTATTCTATGTAGCAGCTTGCATTGCTACCCACAGTGCCATAATCCACTAGATACATCTCATTCAAACATCTTCTGAGGTAGCTGGATAAAATAATGGTCAAAAGTAGTTTGTTAAAGACAGTTTTCTGAATTTCTGTTGTTGTTGTTGTATTTCAGTCAGTTGTTTTAATTTCAAGGCTACCTTATGTCAACCTGTTTTCTGAGGTGGTAAGTGTTTTTGTCGATTGTCATTGTTTTCACAAACTTCCTATGTACTCTGAAAAAATTTTTCATAATTTTATATTATTGAAAACAGCTGCATTGTACTGTTAACCTTTTGTTTCTCATTCACTATCTAATAATAGCATTTTGTTTACAGGTTCAGCTTATAGCACCAAGCTACTTAGAAAATGGGGAACTCAGTTTAGAGACAGGTAGAAGAGGGTTTTTCTTTTGTATACTGCATTTCATTGAGATATTTTAAAGCTCAAACCTCCATGTGCTATCCCTTCTTGTGAGTGACTTTGACTCATAAGTAAACACTGTACACTGTATT